CAGCTCCGCCCTCTGGCACGAGCGCGGAAAGGAGCCGAGCCCGGAGAGCTAGGAGCCGGAGACCGCGCCGAGAAGGCGGAGGCAGAGCGGGGCTCCACCCAGCGACCTGGCTCCGCCCTCCCCGCCGCGCGCCGGGGCAACCCGGGAGAAGGCTAGGGGTTTTCTAAGGCCCTATCAGGAGGCGGCAAAGGCCGCCTACAGTTTTCCACTTCCCGTGTTTCCAGGTGAGCCACCCCACTCTCCTCTTATGACACAACTGTCTCCACACCCTCCCTGCTATGAGTTCCCCTATGACCAGCTCTGGAGCACATCCCTAACCTCCATCCCTTCCCCTTTCCAGTTTCAGTGCTTCCTCCTTGCCCACCCAAACCACCACCCACCACACCTGGTCCAGCAGGCATGTTCCAGTCTTTTTTTTTTTTTTTTTTTTGTCTTTTTCCTTTTTATCGGTACCAGGGATCGAACTCATGACCGCCTGCTTGCAAGGCAGGTGCTTATGCCGCTGAGCTAAATCCCCAGCCCCCATGTTCCAGTCTTTTGACCTCACCAAACTCATTTTGTCCCTGGAGAAGGGACACTGGTCTGGTGCCATAAGGGAAATCCTTTTGAGTTTTTAAAATTTTATGAACCTCCCCATTTCTAATCCTTCAGCTCCACCTCTCCCTCGTTTTCACATTCTTTGATCTAGGGTCAAAAAATCCTTGGAGAATGATTTTCTTAGTCTGAGAAAGACAAAAACTGGATTATGGCCATGGAAGCCATACAAGACCAAAACTTGATACCCAAAAGTAAGGGGATGAAGGGAGTTGGGTACCATGCCAAAGAGTGCCAAGTTCAGTAAGAGGTTCGATATCGCCAAAAGTCGCAGAAGACGCTGACTGGAACCCCAAACTTCGTGTACCTGATAAATTTCAGAAACCAGGGCTTCTGCTCTGTGGGGAGGGGAAGAATAGGAGGAAATCTGACGTTTTATTGAATATATCCTATAAGCTAAGTAGTTTTAAACATTACCTCATTGAAAACTTTCAACACTCCAAGAAGTAAGCCTTAGCTTGTTTTACAGGTAAGAACACCAGGCTTAGAGAGAAAGCATGCAATTTACTTAAGGCATTTAAGTGGTGATACTAGAGTTGAAATTAAACAAGGCTGACCCTGAAAGCCATGCTTTTTTCAAGGTATCACAGAAGAGGAAAGGGAAAGGAGCTGTCAGCTGGTAGGAGCAGGACTGGGTAGGCCAATACTGCACAAACCATAGATCTGCAGATCTCTATGGAAGGAAACAGTTGAATTCATTAACCTACCCCTAAGCACAAGGGACACCTGAAAAACTGAAGGCAAATAGGCAGGTTGTGGCCTGGCCCCGGGGGTGGGGTAGGGGGTCTGTGACTTTCTCACCTCACTGCTTCCTCCCTTAGCTCCCAAGGAGTTCCCTGAGCTTGGAGTAAGAAAAGGGCAGTTACACTTAATGGGAAATTTACAGGATTGTGATTAACCAACCCTAGTGACATTTTGGGCACTTTCACGATACTATCCTGAAATATCCTGCTAGACATTTATCAACTGTTGCCTATGGTTGCTGAATGGATAGCAGCACCTAGTAGCTGGAGTCCATGGTTTGAATGGAGTCACTCCTGATACTGCACCCATAATATTCAAGAGACCCATTGGAAGTCCCAGCATCTTAAGATAAAGAAGTCCTGGCTTTTACATACCCTAATTTATCTTCAGGATAGATGAACCTGTTTAGGAGCTGAACAAAACTCGGAGATTTTACCAGGGACCCAAGAAAAGCAAGAGGGTTGTTATAAAAGGCTAAGAGAGCTGGTGGTATGTACATGATATGGAGAAGGTGTGGCATAATCACATGCAAAAACTCTACAGGTTTCTGATCCTAGTGTCTGATTTTCAATCTAAAGGAACTCTGTGTTCAGTGGAAAAGCACTTGCCTAGCATGTGCAAGACTCTGAGTTCAATTCCCAATACCGAAGAAAACACACACACATGCACGCATGAACCTAATTTATCTGCAGAGCAGATGAACCTGTTTAGGAGCTAAGCAGAGTAGCCTGGAGCTCAAGGTCCAGAAAAGGTGAGGCAGCACCACAGATGTAGACCCAAGGATTACAGAAAATACAGTGGTCTGAGGAAAGAGTACTCACCATTCTACTGTGGTGAGGATCCTGGCTGTTGGCTTGCCACTACAAGAGATAAAGGAACGTAACAGGAAAGAACACCATTAACATCACCATAGAATCAACACATCTCAGATAGCTACCCCTCAACTTCTCTATAATTCTTCTCCCTCACAGAAGACCCAGCCTCACCCACAAGCCCCCATACCTGAGAGAGGCAATGGGGGGCCACATAGGGAGAAAGCAACAACAGAGCATGAAGCCACAAAGCTCTGGAACAGGAATGAATGTCACCCAAGCTTATTCAGCAGAACTCAAGAGTCCTGATTATCAGACAGAAGAGGAAAGGTAGAAAACTTTAAATCCTGTTCATTGCATGAACCAAAAGAAATGCCAGCTCTAAAGAGACAAATCTGCCCACTGGGACTTGGGGACATGAATCCACAGGACGGCTCTGCCAGTCTCTGAGTTTGGGAGTAGCACCCACCTGACCTGTTACTGGGGGGCAGAGTCCAGAGCAGAGGACAAGAGGGAGAGGACCACAACTTGTAATAACAAAATAACAGGGCTGAACAGGTCCTGCTGAGCATACTTGACACCAAGTGGGGTAAAGGTTATGAGGAGAAGGCCACACAACAGGGACAAATTCCAGCCGGCCGGGCCTCAGAGTCAGAATCTGTCCAATGGGTCCTAGTAACAAGAGATTTCGGGACAAGGGCCTCAGATCCACTCAGGGCGCCAGGCCCAGGTCTCACTAACGTATTCCTTCATGCCTTCTGTGCTCACAGAATAGTGCTACAAAGCCTTATAACAGCTGAGGGGATAAACTCCTTTTCTGGTCCTGCCCGCGTCCCAGATTACAGTACCCTCTTTTCCCAGCCCACTCTCCCTCATGGGGGAGCCCGCAAGCCCCAAGTCAAACTGAGCTACAGCCTCACCGCCCACTGGCACGCAGCCTCTGGGAAATGGAGGGAGGCAAAGAAGAACGATTAGGCCAGGGAAACCTAGGGTTTCTGGACCTAAGAAATCCAGTCCCGGGAGATGGGGCAGACTGGCAGGGGATTCCAGGTGTCCAGGTTCTAGGGGCGGAGCCTAACGGCTCGGAGGCGGAGCCCCGAATGACAGAAGGCGGGACTCAAGAAAGCCAGTGGGGGCCTGGGCGGTGCCAGGCAAGACGTGGTCGTTCGGTTCCCAGGATAGCAGTGCACGGGGCACAGTGACTCACCCAGGCGGCGTCCGCCCGACCCTCCAAGGCAGCGCTCTCACCACTTCCGTCTCCTGCAGCTGCTGAGGCTGTGCGGCACCAACCCCACCACGGTGCCCTCTCCCCAACCAATCGTGTCTCTGGCCTGCGTCCGTCCTGGCCAATGACCACATTAAGTCCCGCCCTGCCCCCACCACGCAGCCGACGCCCTCCCTCTCTATGGCGCGCATTGGTCCAAAGGGCAGACGCCCTCCCAGATTTTAGCCTATCTTGTGCCTCAAGAGATTGTACTTGTAAGAAGGAGGCGCGGCGCCGAAGAGGAAACGCAACCAATGGGAAATCACAGCGCGTCCCTGCGGCAGCCAATAGGGGAGAAATAAAAGGGACTACCGCTGCTGCTGCTACGGCTGCGGCGGCCGGAAGTGGGGACAGCCTGTCGTCCACTGGTAACGCAATTGAAGGCGGGGCATTGTAGGGACAGGAGCTTTGAAGCTAGTTCCGGCGACGATCGTGCGGTAGAGGTAGTTTCTCTATAAATTTCTGGTGGCACCTGTTTATCCAGTTGGGTTTAGGTTTCGCTGTTGGTCACCCAATTCCAAAGTCAGAATAGGAGGCGAGTAAACTGGTACTGAAGCTTGGTCTGGATCTTCCACCCACAGCCTTTCCTAGTTTGACAGGTTCCTCCATTTTTTTCTGTTAATGAACGACCCTGGCGTCCTTCATGACCTGCACTGTACCTCCAGTCTTGAGTAAAGCTCTCTCTCCCGAGAGAAAAAACCTGGATCTCAGACTGCCGCTAGCTAGCTGCGCCTTTTTAATCTGTAGAGGGAGGGGGGAACATGACTCAAAAGACCTAGCTCTTCGCTCCGGAGACTCAGAGCCGGAGACAAGACGCGACGTGGCCGCCAGAGGTCGCCATGGCCCCCAGACATCCCCGACCGGACAGCCTGAGAGTGCATTTTTTTCAGATTCTCAAGGGATAGCCTCAGCTTCAAAGTGGACCTGAACGATTTAGTACCAGGCCCCTACGCTGAAGTGTCCCGCAGTACATTTGTTTATAGAGCACTGGAATGTACAACTCGTTTTAGGAACACGAGAACTTTCCCTGCGTCACTAATTTAACCTTCATGAACAATGTCTGCAACCTTAACTAAAGCCTAATATTTAAGAAATGAACTTTCCCAGCACAATGATTGTGCTTTTATTCACTCCCAGCACGTATTGTAGTACTTGATGATCATAAAGCCTTCAGCATTTGTTCAGTGCTCTATCTATAGCAGGCTTTCCACAGTTCACAGCTTAATTATCCACATTCGTTTTCCTCCGATCAGGCGACACAGGAAGTTAGGTTGCATGCAGTGAACACCTATCCCCAAGAGCTGGTAACAAATTCAAAACTTCTGCAGAATTGAAGGTACTGTGTGAAAGTTAGAGAAAGATCCAGGTCCTAGATAACAGAGGCAGGATAGATAATAGACATTAAGATGGAAGGGCTGGGCTGTATTCTAAGCAAAGACTGAAGCCTGTCATGGGAAGAAGACATTTGCCCTTCAACCTCGCCTACTAAAAGTCAGAAATGGCAGCATCTCTTCTTAGCCTTTCAAACTAAGTCCTAAGATGTCAGTCTCCAGGAGGTAGAAAGAATACAGACAGGGACACCAGAAGTCGCCTATAGATTTATTAAACTTTATTTCCTCTGAGTCTCTGGGGATTCAGCAGGGATGTAAGGCGAAGTGGCAGTAGCTGCAGGGGCCTGAGCAGAGCTGGTGCAGAAAGGGGCTGACATGGACAGGAAGAAGATTTAAATATCCAGGACTGAAAGCCAGTTAATGTGTCTTCATCTGTCTTTCCATTTTCTGTAGCATCTCCTGCATCCGCCGCAGCTGGAATAGGCACATGCATCAAAATGGGGCCTTCTGGAGAAGTCTATGGTACTGAGAGAAGTGTCCCCAGGCTCTAATCCCTTGAGTCAGGTTTTGGTAGTCCTTAGGTATGATGGAGACTGAGAAGACCGACAAACTGACATCCCAAATATGCTTCAGAATCAGCAATCTTGCTATTCCCAGACCAAGAGATACTGAAGTTTATAAGAGGGCCACCCAGGCTCTCAACCCCTACCATATTGCTCTCACCTCCTCATCTTTCTCTCGAATTAGCTTCTCAGTTTCTGGATCTGTCCCTGGTGGGACAGCAGGTATGGGGAAGTCAGTACCACTCTCTCGAGTCAGTTTGCTGAAAGGGAAAAGGAGGGTTGCTAAGGCTAGTGGGATGCCAGCACCAGCTTGGGCTGAGCCCAGGCCCTACAGAAGAACAAAGAACAAAGGAAGGGCTTGGTCTTCCCCAAGATTGTACTTGGGGTCATCCCTGCCAGCTTTGTCTGGCTTCTGGTCATACTTGCGATTCCGTTCCTTCACCACCAGGCGGGTCATGCTCTGGATGCACTGTGCCCGGTAGTTCTCATAATGTGTCTCCCGCGTCACATCCTTAAGGTCCTGCATGTGGGTACGCACCAGCATTGTCCTCAGCTTCACAAAGTCACAGTGCCCTGGGTTTTCCACTGCATAGCAAGGCTAGGAATCAGCCAGGGGCATGGGGAGGGAAGAGGCCCTAAGGGCCAAGAAATACCCTCCCTGGTCACAAACTCTGTTCTTTACCTTCTACGATGCCCCAAGGGTAAATTCGGCCCCGAACTCGCCGCCCTCTGGCCTCTACCACAGTGTTGCTGCCAATTACTGCAAATGGGATGCTTTCCTAAAAAAAGTTAGGGGTGCTTGTTAGCACTCCTTGTTCTCACCTGTTGCTTTCCATCTTCATCTTCATCTTCTGTTTCACTCTAGGACAGGGTCCTCTCCAACCCCAAAAGCCTTTCCTTATATGGAATTCTGCTCCCCTCTTCTGCCAGAAGAAACAAGATGGGAAGGGATGCCCTGGAGTGGCCCCACCTTTAGGGCTTGGTCCTGTAATTTGAAGTCCTCATCCTCATCAGAGTCACAATCTGGGAACTGATAGATCTTGATTCCAAAGTGCTCAATATCCTCTCGTATCTGGCAAACAGATGAGGAGCCCACAGTTCTGGAAACTCCATCCTTTCTAGAAGCCCACCTGCTCCCCTCCCCCAACCAGCTTCCCTCACTTTGCGTTTCTTGAGGTCCACTTCAGGACGTGTCAGTGTGTCCGCCTTAGCCAAGATAGGCACAATGTTGACCCGCTGATGCAGGGCCTTCATGAATTCAACATCCAATGGCCGGAGCCTGGAGAACAGGAATCTGTGACCATCTGCTAGTGGCAGCCCTGCCCCTGGTTCTCTTGGCCTGTTCCCTTGGCAGCACCCGGTGGTGCCAGGAGTCTCAGACTGGGACCATACCCGTGGCCAAAGGGTGAGATGAAGTACAGGCAGCAGTGCACCCTGTTGTCTTGGATGTTCTTGCGGTTGAGGCCACTCTCATCTCGGAAATACTGCTCAAACTGCTGGTCGATGTATTCTGCCACAGGCTTCCAGCTGGGACAGAGACAGACAAGCAGAGAAACTATGGGAGTGGAAGCTAGAGCTGCGGCTCTGGGACCGCAGAGAAGGAGCCCTTGCCTGAGCGGTGTTTTTAAGATACTCTTATTCCCTAGTTTGCTTTACTATACCTACAGGGAAATGCCTGCCTGGAACAGGGGTGTATTTCACATGTCCTGACACAGGCAGAGTTCAATGAATACTAGTTTGATGAGAAAAAAAAGACCCGGGTGACCAAAAAACAAAACAAAACAAAATCCAAAGAAAGCATAGGAAGGTAGCTATCAGTGAACACCACTGGCCAAGGAAAGCCAAGGAAGCCAAGGAAACCCCAAGTCAGGTTTACAATCTAGCTTTAGAGACTGCTCATGTATTTCCCACCCTTTCTCTGCTTCTCCAAACCTATTCTATCCTTCAAGGCCCTATCCAAGAACTAGGTTTTCCACAAAGGCTCTTCTACACACTGCTCTCCCTTTCTTTTCACCACATAAGCTGTATGTGAATATACACACACAGACATGTGCACTAACAGTCCTCTACCACATAATAATGTTTCTGTCACCTTTAGATTCCATATAGTGGTGGTCTCATAAGATCATGATGGAGCTGAAAAATCACTGTCATAACATCACAGCACCAATGCGGTGTTTATAAATAAATGTACTGTGCCGCCAGTCGTATGAAAGTATAGTATGTACACAATATGTACAGTACAAAATACGTGATGATGACAAATTATCATGCTTGTTTTATATATTTATACTACTTATAATTTTATTTTTTGGTACTGGGGATTGAACTCACGACCCCACGCTTGCCAGGTAGGTGCTTATGCTGCTGAGCTAAATCTTTGGCCTATAATTTTAGTATGACTTCTACTTATAAAAATTTTTACTGTATTATGCCACAGCAGCCTCACACATCTTGTGCTTACAGTACCTCTTTTCTTTTTCTTGTTTTTATTAGTACATATTTACAATTCTTTTTGAGACAAGGTCTTTCTATGTTGCTCAGGCTAGACTTGAACTCCTGGGCTCAAGCGATCCTCCCACCTCAGCCTTCTGTGTACTTAGCTGGGACTAGAGGCATGTGCCACTGTGCTCAGATACAATACTGCTTTATAAATGAAAAGGTTAATCTGAGAGCAGCTAAAAGAGTTGTTCCAGATCATTTGCTTAGTAGTTTCTATCCACCTGAGTTCCTGGCTTTCTGACTTAGTTAAGTGAGCCTGCCCTTACATTGTGCCTCATGAATATATGTGTTAAAGAACGTGCCCCCCGCCCCACTGGACTGTATGCCTCTCAGAGACAGGGATCATTCATAATTGTCCTGTATTACTTAAAAATGTCCAACACATGCTGGATCCCTAGATTCCTGCTGGTTGACTAAATGACTACATATGGAGGTATACCATAAACCATGAGGTAGAATTGTTATTAAGATACTTATTGAAATGAAATCATTACTTAAATTACTATTACCATGAAAGGTAAAAGAAGGTAAGTAGACTAAAGGAGAAAATAGTACTTGCTACAGTAGGACTGGTATGGTTTGGGAGAACAAGCCACGTACTGAGATGTACTGCTAAAACAGGAAGGATGATGATGATGACGATGACAACGATGATATGGAGGTCACCTTCACCCATCAGAAATACAGATGGATACCATGAGACTATGTACCATGAACTAGCTCAGTGCTATGGAAGAATGAATAAATGGCCTTCCCCTCAGAGTTCAGACTATGAAGTTGAGTTAGCTGTGCTAAAAGTCACATGTTGTAATGATAAATCATGTGATGGGGATTCAGACCACAGAAAGATCTGTAAAGTACTATTAGTCTGTGAGGCAAGTATTGAGGGTCAGCTCAATAGGTAAGGGACCTGGACTCAAAAAGGCCCATGTTTAATATGATCTACTACCATCTTGAAATGCTTGATAATTTTGAACAAGGGACCCACAGATTATGTTTCTGGCCTTGCAATTATCAAGATTCATGAACACAGTATTTTTTTTTTACAGTTTTCAATACACAGACATTATTCTTGGTGATTTTCAAATCAACTGGGTAAGGTGTTAACTGCTAGGTTTTAACAGAGGAAACAGAACTGAAGCCATTCGCTAAAGACCACACAATTACTAAACAAGATTTGAACTGTCAGTCCAGAGCTCTGAGTGCTACCTGCTTAACTTGTTCATCAAAGGCACTACCTTTGGTCCTATCTTTTTCATCCATTATACTCCTCTACTGTCATCTAACCATTACCTAAGCATCTCTCCTATTCATAAATAAATAAGTAAGAGAGGGATGAGGGAGTGTGTGTGTATGCATGTGTGGCAAAATCACCTTTTGGCAGGGAGCCTAAAGAGTATCTAGAGTTTAAATCAAGTTCCACCATCGTTTTCCTTTGCCTCTTTCTTACCTTCACCCCTCCCTCAGTGTTCCTCCATCTCCCCCTTTAACAAGACTTATTCGTGGCATCTAAAATGTTGCCGATAAAAAGGAAGGATGGAGGCTGAAGTTTACTGAGCAACAACTACTATGCGTCAGGCCCTATGCTACGCTTTTTGAAACTTTTCTTCCTTATATTTTGTTCCCACCCTCATTACAGAGTTATAGGTTGGAGTTGGAAGGAACATTAGAAACCATCTACCAATTCTATTCTTCTCACTTTACTGGAAAGGAGACAGCTGTCTAGTAAGGGGAATGACAAAGTGCTTCCTCCTGACAAGTACGATTATGTTCATGCCTACACACACCCTTGTTTATATATGGAATAGGTGGGTGGGCCAGGGGCAGCTGGGGTTGTGCTTAGTCAGACATACCACTCTGTGTTGTTGAGTGCATCCCCAAAACCTGGTGTGTCCACAATGGTGAGCCGCAGCCTTACACCTTTTTCTTCTATATCCACTGCATGTTTAGTGATCTCCACAGTTTGCATGATCCGCTCTGGAGAAGGGGGAAACTGAGGCGAGGGCAAGGGCAGGGACCTGCCCAGTCAGGACAAACTGCCCACCCCAGTCAGCTTTGCTGCCCAGACTGCCTCATCCACAGCCACCCTCCCTATTGCCTATCCACAGACTGCCTGAAGGCCTGTTCTCTGGGAACCAGCAAGGAGCACATTTCCCAACACAGGAAATGCCAGTGGCTATTGGCTCTGGCCCCAGCCTCTTCTCTGCTCCTGAATTTTTGCTTGGATTCCTGGAATCCTTTGGGAGTCAAGAGATTCATTCAGAGACCAGCATTCTTGTCCCTGCCCTGCTTCAGCACCCAAATCTTTAGGGAGCTGGCTGAGAACCGAGGGTCAGCCAGGCCTATGGGGAGAGATACAAGCTATGATTTCCAGCATGCTGGGAATGCCCCAGGGCTTCTGACTCGGTGACCCGATCTATGAGTTTAACTTCCAAAGACATCTCTGCCTGCCTGTCTCCATGCTCCTCTTCTTTCTTACCTTCAGCATTCAGGAGTTTCCGGTCTCGGTATAGATCAGTGAGGAAGAGGCTATTCACAAGAGTGGATTTACCCAGGCCAGACTCTCCTGACAGAACAGAAGGCAAGGCACCAAATCAGTAGGTTAAGATCTATAGGTCTGTGGTAACTGCTTATCAACTGGGACTAGACTAACCAAACAAGCATTTTAGAACTGAAAGGAAGCAGTGAGATGAGTTTATCCAGCAACTTCATTTGAATGAAACCAACAGACAACAAGAGCTCACCCAAGGTTATATGGAAATGGAAAATACTGTACTAGAAAACTGTTGGTTTTTTTTTTAACCTCTCCCTAATAACCCCATATACACACTTTTTGGCCATCAGAGGCTTTTGGCTATTTTGCAAAAAAAAACCCCAAAAAACCACACAGCCTTCTGCTGCTTGCTCCTTCCCCACTCTTGGCTCCTTCACACACACACACACACACACACACACACACACACACACACACCCCTATCTCAACCCCACCTAATACTCCTTGCCCAACCCAGCCCTGCCCCTTTCTACCTGCTACCATGAGGGTAAAGTCAAAGCCTTTCTTCACAGACTTTCGGTGCACTTGGTTGGGGAGGGTCGCAAAGCCCACATACTCCTTGTCATCCTAGTGGACAGGAAGATAGAAGAATCAAGGTAAGAGGCAGTAGGGGGCCCAGCACCAGTCTTCTTGCTTTCTATGTCTCTGCCCCAGGCTTAAGAAAAAGCAACAGACTCCTTGGAGTTCTCATGTAAGACTACCAATTGGGCCTTTTGCCCCCGTCTGACACTGCCAATTTCTAGTGCCTTCAGAGGCAAGACACTACAATGCGGGGATGTGGGGGCTAACAAAGGATAGAAAGCCTCAGGTGTACATTCATGGGCGCGCGCGTGTGAACACACACACCAAAGTTCTCTCTGCTCCCTCCCTGGGTCTTCCTGTACCCACCCACTGAAAGGCAAAGGCAGGGCAGGAGTCTCTCTACCTCAGAGGAATCATAGGGATCGAGCTTGCCCCATGGGCTGCGGGGCCGGGTAGAGGGGCTGAGAGGGGTGGGGGTGCAGAAGTACTGCTGGCTGTCAGAGGCCTGGGGCCATGAGGGGGGTCTGAGTGCCAGGTCATCTTCATAGAGGTCAGGGGCCTGGGGCCTTGACTCCGGGATTTGGGGCCTGGACATCCTGGTCTTGGCCTCCGGTGGGTGGCAGCTTTCACTTCCTGGAAAATCCTTCATGAACTTGCTCAGTTCTGGATCATCGGTGCTGTCCTCTAGAAAAGGCTTGATCTGGGTGTTGGGGGAGGTAAGGTGGGAGGTGCCAGGGAGGGAACCAGAAAGGAAGGACAAGGAAGAAGGTAGAAGACAAGAGAAGGTGAGGAGAGAGAAGCACTTGTGGTTAGAAAGAAAAGATACTGTAGCCATGCCAGCAGAGGTGCTCACCATACTCCCCCATCACCAGCTCACTAACCTCTCAGGGAAAAGACAGGGAAGGACCCCAGGGTCCAAGATCCCCAAGCCATGCTTTCAGTTCCAGCCCCTCTCAGCATGGTGTCTTTGGGGCTGCCCTTCCCGGGAATCTGGCTAGACTACCCCCAAAGGACTACCCTAAGGGCCAGACGGAGTAAGAGGGAACAGATAGAGGCCTGAGACCTGATGAGGCCAGGACTCAAGTGAAAGTACAGAAAGTCAGAATGGAGCAGGCAGGTAAAGTGCTGCCAGGGGGTTCTGGGCCTCTGTCTTGCTGGTCAATGGGCCAGGGACCCAGGTGCAGATTCTACTGCAGGTGCCTGCTCTCCAGGGTATGCTGCTTGGAGCTTAGTCCTACTGATCCTACTGTTACTCCAGATGTTGAGCCACACCAGAGTAATTAATTATGAATCTCCTAGACCCCAGGAGAAAAGAACAAGCCTACTAGTGGCTTCTGAGAATGGAGGGAGGTAGTTGGGGAACCAAATGAGAAATGACAGAAGGGCACAGGTAAGAGCTTGGAAGGGCTATAAGATGGCTAGACCCCAGTACCGCTGACAGCCCCCAATTGTGAGACATCTAAGTGGAAGCATTCTTAGTTGTCCCCTTACCTACCCTGCCTGGAGTTAGCAATGCAGAAAGGGATGTGGCATCATCCATGACCCACCCCAGGAAGAAGGTGATGTGCTATGTAGAGAGTAGACTGGCTCCGATGTAGAAGCCTGTTCCATCCCATCCCCAGCTTAGAAGTTGGACCCATTTCCCTCCACTCTCACTCTCAGCTCTAATCCTACAGCTTCTCCTCTGGGAGCAGTGTCCTTTGTGGGGTGCCTGGCAGTGCTGGGCTGAGCTCTGCCTCACAATATCCACGTGCCACCCCCAGACAATGGACAAGGGCTGGCTACAGAGGCTGACTCGCCCACTGGGGGTTGGCCAAGCAAGTGGGGAGTACCCTAGACCACTGTGGAGTCCCAGCCAAAGTGGGTGAGATAAGATGGTCAGAGTCTTCCTGCATACTGTGTTTTACAAACAGTAAGACATGGGGAGGCATACCAACAATCCCACCAATCCAGGAAGCTAAGGCAGGAGGATCTCAAGTTTAAGCCCAACATGGACAATTTAGCAAATTAGTGAAACCACATCAAAACCAAAAAACTTTCTGACCTAGGTGTGGTGGCACATTCCTGTAATCCCAGCACACTGAAGCAGAAGGACTGTGACAAGTTCAAAACCAGCTTGGGCTACACAGTGAGCCACGGCCAGCCTAAACTACATAGCAAGATCTCATCTCAAAAAAACAACTAAACAAACAAACACTGAAAAGCTTCTTTAAAAGTGCTGGGAACATAGGATAACTAGACCCTAAATTCAATCTCCAGTATCAAATGGGAAAAGACAGTGGATATAGGGGGAAAGTTCCCTACAAACTACTTCTAGGCTATCATCTCTCAAGTCCCCATACCTGTTGACAGCCATACCCTGCAAACCTTGCGGGTAGAAAAGGGAGTTAGCCTGAAAATGCAACCCCCACATGGGGCTTGGTGGCCAGAAGCTATCCTAAGACAAGCCTGACCTAACAAGCCTTTTTCATACACAAAATCTGTGAGGTAACTACACACCAGTTTATGCTTGTTGGCCTAGCATAATGGTTAATTGTTCCCCCTTTGACTCTCAAAAGTATCCTAATTATACAGCAACAGAGAAAGGATGGGGCTGAGGAGCAGCAGTTGGGAATTCCAGGAAATCCTGCTTTTCTCTACCATCCCATAGTGAACCAGTAATTGGTCTGGGGTGTATGACTAAGGGTGGGAGAAGGGAATGTGCTCTCCCTAGGGGGTATTAAGCAGAGCGGCATCAGGGAGAAGAGAAGGAAAGGCACTGATGGAGATCCCTAACAGCCACGATTTTCCAGCATTGCTATCAGGAAGCCAGCACCTCTCAGATGCGCATCGACAAAGAGGAAGCCAGGGGCTCTACAAGAAGAGTCAAAACACCAGGATCCTCTCCTCCTGTCTGTTGTCTGTCTTTCCCACTCCCCCAGCTCTGCTAGACACCAAATCATTTCCTGATTTTGAGCCCAAATCTCAGTCAAAGCAGGAGGTCATCACTGGGGCCTATGAACAGATTTCCACCCACCTCCCAGAGTAGCACCTTACCCCAACTTTAGTCCCCTCCTCAGGGACAGAACTGCCTTGCCATTCCAGTGAATGGTCCATGCCCCAAGCTTCAGATTCCCTGTCAGCAAACTCTAGGTCTTATTTTATCTCCCAAGCAAAGGTCCTCACACATAGAAACAGCCTTGTCTTGATGTTCCTGTTGTCTTCTGGTTTCCTGGCTTGCTCCTTTCCCTTTTTCTTTTGATCTCCCTCTGTCTCTGGCAGGGGCCAAAAAGGCCTGTGGAATATTCTTCCCCACCCCTTCTTCCCCTCCCCTTCATTTGGCTCCCACCCTCTAAGGGCAGCTAGCTGCAGCATGATCACTCAGTTTCTCTGCAGTCCCCTCCTCCTCTGATTGGCTGCCCCATGGTGCCTGCCCTCTGCCTAACCCAGTGGGCACAGCACCAACCTCCCAAATCTGTCTGCAGCACAGGCTTCTGATCCACTTGGTTTCTTCTGTTAACCCCCAAGGCCACTGAGACCTGCCTAAGAATTATGAACTGTCCCCCAAGATGACCTGGCCCATCAGTAAAAGGGGACAGCAACATAGAAGACCTATTCCCAAAAGATTCCAACCCTCTGATCTCTTTCATTTTATTATCAAGCAGCGCTGAAGCAGAGTGGGATGTCCAATAACCCAGGAATAGGTTCCATAGAGATGGCCCTTTTCTCCCAGGAGAAACTGTTGTCCTATGGCTTTCAGAAACTCGTTCCTAGATTTCTCTTTGGGAACTCCAGATACAGAGAGGTCTAAGCTCCAGGGACTCCTGCTATCCTTAGATACCTGGATCCTCCCTAGGGATCCATCAGTTCCATCACCCCATCACTTATTTTCAGAAGGTCAGTGAGGGACCTGTTAGCATTTGGTCTCTGAGGGGTATGGGTTCACAGTTACAGCAGGCTGCCATTACAGGGGCTCCAGAGCTGCCTCTTGAGACAAATAAGGGGTCTGGCTGGGAATGTCCAGATGGAATACTACCAGGACTGAGGAAGTCAGTGTTTCTGCTCGGGCCAGAAACACTCTTTGTGAGTCTGAATAGTGCCTTCATTTCAGTACCTTAATGTCCAACAGTGAACAGCCTTCTTTGCCTCTCCTGGAGGCTGGGAAGAGAAATCACTTTTAGATGAGATACCTCAAACTGCTCTGGACCTTAGAGAAAGTATATCTCAGATCACAGGATAGTAATAGATGTTCACCTATCATTTTTTTCACATGCAAATTTAAACCCCGTAGAACTTCTGGGCTAGGGAGGTCTCCCCACTGAATTTTAAAGCAGCTAGGGCACTGGCCTCCTTTGATAAGGCCCTCATAGAGGGTCTGACAGGAACCAATCAGCCTAAGGACTTGGCTGGCTTGAGTACAGAGGCTTGAGGCTGGAGACTGGTGGTGGTAGGTTATCTTTAATTAACAAAGAACAGGGTGGCCTGGGCCAAACAGAGCACCAAGACCTCAGCTGAACTGAACTTAGTGTGTGGCAGAAAAAGCCCCTCATCCCTGCTGGGCTTGGCATCAGGGATAATCAGTGCTTCCCCAGGGCATTCAGCCCTAGAACAATAAGCCTGTCCACTCCCTATGTGAGGAGGAGGAGGGGGACAGGGATAAGGACAGGCAACACTTGGCTTCTCCCAGGATCCTTCTCTGGGGAGTTATAGTGTCACTAAGACTTCCTGGCCAAAACTTGGATCTTTGCCTGGACACAGCTTGAGAGACAAGCGCCCAAAAGGGTGGCCTTTTTAGACCTAAAAGCTTCTGATTCTACAGAGCCCAGGAAGCTCCCTTATGGTGGCTGCCCATAGCCAACATCCTGCCCCACAGACTGGCCACCGATCCCCTACTGGTGTAAACAGTTTGTGCCTCCCAAGAAAAGAAGTGTTTCAGACTGGGAGGAGAGGACAGTGTGTGGCCTGGAGGCCCTGACACCCATACTTGTGTTCAAGACAGCCTCTGTCAACAACAGCAAAAGCTGGCCTCCTCACAATCAAGCATCAAAACTTCCTCCCTTGGTGCCTCCTGTGAGGCTGGCTGGTGTTACTGCTTCTCTCCCCACCACAGGCAGGTGGCAGGAATGAGTCCCCCCATAACCCCCACGCACTGCAGAGGTACTTAGTGTGTGTGTGTGTGTGTGGGGGGGCGGGAATAGATGCAGCAAGAGGAAGCTTCCCCACGGTTCTGTCCCGATAGCCAAGATACTCTCAGCTGGTAGAATGATGGCTGGCAGAGTCCTTCTCTGGGGGGTCCCTTTGGAAAAGGTCTAGGGAGTGCCCCTGCCAGGCTGTGGAAAAGATCCAGTCACGCTGTCCCTTTTTAGGAAGGCTGGCAGTGTTTGTGGGTCCCCTGTTTTCCAAAGGAAGTTGGTGCTAGCCTCTGTGCTTAGAGTAGGTGGATCAGAAAGGGTCATCCAGGTAACAGCTGATTAAGGCAAGGGCGGAGACCTTGACCAGGTTCATCGCTGACGTACCCTTTCCAGCACAAGCTAAACCCTGCAGACGGGCACCTCCCACAACATAGACCCACCCCTTCCTCCAAGATTACAGGCAGCATCTCCGGGGTCTGCTCCCTAAGTAGCCACTCGGCTTAAAGGGAGAAACTTGCAAGCAGCTACGCAGCGCCACCCGCCAGCAATGCCTGCCTGAACCCAGAGCCGGGGACAGCGCCTCCCAAAG